GGGTGAGCCCGTAGAAGACTTCTTGCCCTTGTTGTCCATGACTTGTAATCGATGAAGTTTTGATGTGCTGGCTGTAGATAGAATGTCGTTGATGGGAGTTTGGTCTCTGACCAGCTCTCATACCATGTTGGGCTGAAAAAGGCCTTGCAATGGTTCGGTTACCACCCTTGCAGTCGTAACGGTCAGTCGCAACCTCAGGTATCGATCCTTCGAGTCCCTTCGTCCTTTCGTGTTCTTTCGTCCATCCTCCTCGTGCAACCTCCGTTGACTCGCGTACTTGATACGACATTTCTTCGAGTGTAGTGTTACACTTCAGAAATGCTTAAGTCTTCGAGGTATTTCCAATACGCTTGAACAGCCACGCACCATCCGCTATAACTATACATGTGCAAATATGTATAAGTTTATACACCCGCTAGGCTAGACAAGGGGTAGTGCCTACCAAGAGACACACAGCTCAGGGCCGCACTACTAGTCCAACCTACGAGGCAAAGGTCTAAAGACGAGTCAGCAAGTGTCCACTAAACAAGAGTAAAAAACCAAGGTCGCACAGCTAATCCAGCCAGTAGAACAAGATCCACAAGGCCAGTCAAGATAATATAAGGAGAAGTACACAATCAGGTTCCTAGCAAATGAGGAGCTACCGGAACTAGACCAAGCTGTACACAGTGCTGCTGATGATCTTTAGGCACAAGCGCCTTCGTAACGATATCAGCTGTCTTGGCACCAGAGGCCAATTGTACTACGCGGGCCTGGCGGCGCTGCTGTAGCTCGTGCATGAGAAAGTACCGCAGGTGGATGTGCTTTGCTTTGCCCTCAAGTCGAGGCTCCTGAGACAGGAGGATCATGACCCTGTTTTCAGCGTACATGACCGGGGCAGAGCTAGGCTGCTCACCCAAGTCAGTGAGCAAGAAAGTCAGCCAGCGGAGCTCCTGTGCTGCCATGGCACCGGCGTAGACCTCAGCCTCACAGCTAGATAGGGCAACAGACGACGAGCGGGTGGACCTCCACAAGATGGCACCTGAACCAAGGCTAAAGCAGTAGCCCTGAGAGGACCTGAGTGTCTCAGCGTCGTCTGCCCACGAAGGGTCTGTGTGCCAAGTAAGGACCACTGGCCTGCGTCCTCCTAGTATGAGTCCCATGCCCGAGTTACTTGCTAGTTAACGCAGAATCCTCTTAGTTGCCGACCAGTGCTGTGGTCGGTGTTGGCCTGTGGCCACAAAGCGGGCCAGGATGCTAAGAGGGTATGCGAGATCTGGACGAGTGCAAGTCATCAGGTACATGAGGCAACCCACCAGCTCTGCGTAAGGACCACTGGGCTCTACAGACATCTCAGGAACTGGAGCAGAGAGCCTATGGTCTATTGGCATAGGTGTTGGATGTGTAGAGGAGAACTGAATACCAAACCTCTGAAGGACCTGGCGCACCAAGTGTGACTGTGTGAGAGGGATGGTGCGTGCCGCTCTGTCCGTGGAGATCTGCATGCCAAGGTAGCGGTGCAGCTCGCATAGGTCAGTGCAGGTGTTTCTCCCCAGCAACTCGGCCTTCACGGAGGCCAGTGCGCCTCTGTCTACAGTAGCAAAGACCAGCTCGTCTACGTAGACAAGGATGTAGAACGGGGTCTGACTAGCACGAACGAAGAGCGAGGGGTCTGCAGACGACGGGAAGAACTGCAGGTCAGCTGGCGTAGCACGCAGTGTGTCGTGCCACTCGCGAGGCGCCTGTCGCAGGCCGTAGACCGGACGCCGCAGGAGCCACTGAGTCCTAGGAGGGAAGGTACCGGTGAAGCCCTGTGGACAGCGCAGGTAGACCTGCTCATGAAGGCTACCCTGAAGAAAAGCTATAGAGAAGTCGAGGGAATGGAGCCCGTAGTCACGCTGTGCTGCTACGTGTAGCAACACCCGAAGAGTAGTCATCTTTGGGGTCGGAGCAAAGGTCTGAAAGAAGTCCACACCCTCGCGCTGACTAAAGCATCTAGCCACGTAGCTCGCCTTGAATACAGGCGGCTCTCTACGGGGGCGCTTCACCTTGAAGAGGCATCAGCCATCGACTACGTTCACCCCAGGTGGAGGAACTGCGTCGACGTAGGTGCCGGTGGATCGCCAAGATGCCATCTCCTGCTCCATGGCAGCTATCCACTGAGAGGCCCAGGGTCCCGAGGTCGCCTCAGCGTAAGTGCGAGAGGTCGGGATGTCAAAGGCGTCTAGGGCACCCCCAGGGGCTAGCAGCATGGAACAGAGATGGGGAGCGGCCTCAGACAGGAAAGCAAGCTTGTACTGCCGGTCCTCTCGGACGTCACTGCCAAGGGCAGGAGCATCCCCGACGGACGGAGGACAGACAGGGTCAGAGACCAGAGCGGTGGCGTAGTCAAGGCGGCGGGTAGAGGTGAGGTCAGCGACAGCAGGGACAAGAGCGTCAAGACTGGAGATAGGTACAGACGGGTCGGTAACGAGGGAGGCAAGGACCCAAGAAACAAGAGGACGAGCGGCACGAAGATAGTCAGGCAGAGGAGGCGGAGCAACAACAAGCGACGACGGAGGAGGCGAATGTAGGAGGGGAGGACGAGACACGTGAGAATGAAGCAACATAGGGTGAGAACACTGAACAGGAGAGACAGGACGAGCATGATAGGGATGGCGAGACAAGAAGTGGGACGGAGGCGTTGTGTCAGGAGACACAGGAGGAGTAACAGGAGGGGAACGAGGGGGGGAACGAGTTGGGGACGAGTCCGGCAAAGGAAACACAGGGCCGTAGACATGAAGGGGATGAGGGGGCGGGGGAGGCACAGGCGAGCAGTCAGGGGAGGGAAGGCCAAGCAGGAGAAGGGCAGACAATGGCGGCGACTGCTGCTACTGCTGCTTAACGCCGACACCTGGACCGCCGGCTGCATCATGGCTACCTGCGGAACACTCCACTCCAGCACCCCCAGAACGAGCACCCCTAGAGCGAGAACCCTCACCAGCACCAGTGCAAACCCCAGGGCCGCCGGGATAAGCCACGTCAAGAACCCCAGGACTTGCACCCTCCTCAACGCCACAACCCCTAGAGACCACGGCGGCTGCTGCTGCGGCGGCGACTGCGGCGGCTGCTGCAAAGGCGGAGGAGGAGACATCGGGGGAGAGGCAGGAAGGGAGAACAACGCCGCAAGGCCACCAGAGTCAGCCGACTCCTCGACCGGGACAACCGATGGGAGGGGAGTGACGTGAGACACACTAGACGGAGCAAGACGGGGAGGGAGGGAGCAGGGGCTACCCGGGGGGTGGGAACCAGAAAAAGAGGAGGGGAAACCGGGAGACCTCGGTGGGGAAACCGAGGAAGACACAAGGGACAGTGCGGGCAGTGAGCTTGTCCGTGCCAGAGGCACGAACTTGAGCGAGGCAGCCCTAGACGTGGAATGCGGACGCGTCACCAGAGAACCCGGTCCAGAGAAGGGTCGGCAAAACGTGCGCGCGCTGGGAGCGTGGCCAGAGGTTAAGCTGGTGAGCTGCACAGCGTACGGCGAATGACCAACAAAAATGGGGTGCATCGGCATGGATCATAGAGGTACGAGCCACCTCAATGACCAAACCGATGCATTGCTCAACGACCCCGTTCTGCTATGGGGAGTCCAGTAGGGTGTTCGGGTGGGTGATGCCCTGCACACGACAGAACTGTCCAAGCCGACCAGAGGCGAACTCGTCGCCACGGTCGGAGTGGAGACACAGCACGGGGAGACCGCGGTGGAGGCGCGCGGCTATGACCCACGGGATAAGAACGGCAGGCACGCCGGCCTTCCGCTCCAGAGGTAACACCGTGGTGTAGCGCATGTAGTCGGTTAGGAGCACGAGAAAGTAGCCCTCGCGACGCGGCCCAAGGACTGTGGCTTGGCCCCAGACGTCCAGATGCAGGGTTCGGAGTAGCGCGGTGGCAGGGCGAAGCGAGAAGGGGTGAGGAGCATGGCATAGCCGGCCCAGGGTCAGAGTGGAGACACAGCACAGAGAGCACGACACAGAGCATGCACGTCGGCGCACGTGAGGGAGGGAGGGCAGGGAGCGATGCAGGGAGACCTAGGACGAGACCTAGACATCCCCTTGTTCTCCCGGAACTTAGTCGGTGTCGGCTGTCTTCAGGACCTCGGCGTCACCACTACGTTCCCTCGCCTGCGCCGCCGTGCACGCCCTGCGGCGAGGGCCAGCTCCGCCATGCTCCTCAATCCTCTTCGCTTTGTCTTGCCACTGCGCCCCTCCAGACCCTGTACCTGGACGTCTGGGGCCCAGCCCCCGTCTCTGGACCGCGTTGCGAGCGCTACTTTCTAGTGCTCGTTGACGACTACACGCGCTACACCACGGTGTTTCCTCTGGAGCGGAAGGCCGACGTGCCTGACGTTCTTATACCATGGGTCATAGCCGCGTGCCTCCACTGCGATCTCCCTGTGCTATGTCTCCACTCCGACCGTGGCGGCGAGTTCGCCTCTGGTTGGCTTGGACAGTTCTGTCGTGTGGAGGGCATCACCCAGTCGTACACCCTACCGGACTCCCCGCAGAAGAATGGGGTCGCTGAGCGACACATAAGCTTGGTCATGGAGGTGTACCGTGTGAGAAACTCAAGTGATGATTGTATTAGGAAAAGCGTGGGTATACATAGGTGAGGAGTAGCAGGGAGGGGGGGGTTTTGGTTGGGAGGTGACCACGATTATTGGTGACCCCAATAAGTTGAGTTGGCCAACTTATTGGGGGTCCAATGATCCTAGCCAAGATTATTGGTGGGTCCAATAATCTTGGTTGGGATTATTGGGGGTTCCAATAATTGGGAGCCCAACCAATTTGGGAACCCAACAAGGTTGGGAACCCAACCCCCAACTTGGGTGTATACACCCTAGTGGGGTGCTTATAAGTACCTGAGACAATGAAACGATGTAGGCTAATAGAATGAAGGGAGAATATTCTAACACAACCCCTTAGCCTACAGAGTGCCATAAGTCTTGGGAAGGTGAGGCGAAGCAGCCCCTGAATCAGGTAGTCCCCTGTGAGGGAGGGGCAAGACCCAGAAGGCGAAGGAGAGCCGCATGGGGACGACGAGGGAGGGCCTTGGTGAAGATGTCTGCAAGGTTGGCTGAAGAGTCAATCTTGCGCACGGTGAGGTGTCCAGCCTGGACGAGCTCACGAATGAAGTAGTGTCGGAGCTCGATGTGTTTGGAGCGACCATGGAAAACGGCTTCCTTTGTGAGGTGGATAGTACTGGCATTGTCGCACTAGATGGTGGGACAGGGCTGGGGAGCATCCAGCTCAGCGAGGAGGAAGCTGAGCCACCGCGCCTCCTGGGCCGCCATGGTGACGGCGTAGAGCTCTGCTTCACAGGAGGAGAGAGCGATCGAGGAGGAGCGGGTGGAGCGCCAGGAAATGAGGCCGCTCCCGAGGGAGAAACCATACCCCTGTGAGCTACGACGATCGGGCTGAGAATCCGCCCAAGAGGAGTCGCTATAGCCAGTGAGCTGAGGAGGGGTGGGGCCACCCAAGGTGAGGACATAGTCCTTGGTGCCTTTGATGTAGCGGAGAACGCGCTTGGCCGCTTGCCAGTGCTCGGGAGTGTGTTTGCCAGCGCCGACAAAGCGCGCCAAGACACTGATAGGGTAGGCGAGGTCGGGGCGAGTGCACATCATGGCGTACATCAGGGACCCGACTAGCTCAGCGTAAGGACTGGTAGAGGAACCATGGGTGGATGTCGGCGAGAGCTGGTGGCCGACTTGGAGGGGTGTGGAGACGGGTTTGGCCGTGGCCATCTCGAAGCGTTCAAGGACCTTCTCGAGGTAGAATGCCTGAGAGAGGGAGATGGTCCTGGCCGCACGATCGCGAGAAATCTCCATCCCGAGGTAGTTGCGGACCTCCCCCAGGTCCTTGCAGAGGAGGCGCTTCTGCAGCTCATCCTTGACCTGTTGTAGGTCTGCTTCGTTGTCAGCGGCAAGAAGCATGTCGTCGACGTAGACGAGGATGTAGAAGGGGGAGGGGGAGGTGCGCAGGAAGAGGCAGGAGGAAGCCTGGGAAGGGCGAAAACCAAGAGCACGGAGAGTGCTCGAGAGCTTGGCATGCCATTCCCGAGGAGCTTGCTTGAGGCCGTAGACCGGGCGGCGAAGTTTCCAAATGGTGTTGGGAGGGAAAGGGAGGTGCCAACCCTCGGGACGCTCCATGAAGATGCGCTCATGGAGTTCACCTTGGAGAAATGCCGTGGTGACATCCATCGAGTGCAGGATCATGCCGCGCCGGCCGACGAACTCCAAGAACACGAGGAAGACAGGGGGAGTGGCGGTCGGCGAGTAGGTGTCAAGGAAGTCATGGCCGTACCGCTGCGTTAATCCTTTGGCGCAGTAGCGGGCCTTATAGGTCGGGTCATCGCCAGGGAGGAGCTTGACCCGAAATACCCATTTGCCCTTGACCACGTTGTGGTTGAGAGGGCGGAGTACGTCGATGAAGGTGCCGTTGCGGACAAAGGCCTTATTCTCTTTGAGGACTGCCTTGCCCCAATGAGGGTGGTTGGGGCATGTCATAGCTTCGTGATAATCTCCCGGCTCGAAGATGATGGGCTCGCCGGAGAAGACAAGTACCGGGGCGCCGGTCATGCTGAAGGCGACTGCTTGGGTGTTGGAGAAGAGGTGGAGGCGAAGAAATTCACCATGGGAGTCTTCGATGAGGAGGGGATAGAAAGGAGGAGGAAGGGAGGGTGGTGTTGCAAGTCTGCTGCGCTGGTGAGGGGGGAGGCTGCGACACGGCGACTCTGCGACTCGGCTGCACGGCTGCTTGACCGGGGCCACTGCTGCGGCGGATCCTGACGCTACGGGTGCGGCGACCGGGGCAGGCACAGGTGCGGCGGCGGGAGCTGCTGCGGCGGGTGCGGAGGTGGAAGCAGAGGGTGCTGGAGCGGGTGCCTTTGCCTGAGGGGAGTCTATCTCCTTTTACCACCGCCTTCCTCACCGAGGTCTCCCGGTTTCCCTTCCTCTGTTTTCTGGTCCCCACTCCCCTGGTAGCCCTTGCTCACCTTCCTCCCCATCCTGCTCCGTCAAGTGTGTCTCACGTCACTCCCCTCTCGTCGGTTGTCCCGGTCGAGGAGTCAGCTGACTCTGGTGGCCCTACGGCATAGTTCTTGCCGCTTGTCTCTCCCCCGGTGTCTCCTCCTCTACTGCCGCAGCTGCCACAGCTGCTGCAGCAGCCGCCGCTGCCGCCGCAGCAGCAGCTGCCGTCGCCGCAGCAACAGCTGTCGCCTCCGTTGCAGCAGCAGCAGCCGTCTGTGACCTCTGGAGGTGCTGGCGTTAAGGAGGGTGCTATTCCTGGGGTTCCTGTCGTGGCTTGTCCCGGCAGGCTCGGGGGTGGCACTGGTGCTAGGAGGGTTCTCACTCTGGAGGTAGCTACGGTGCAGCTGGCGGCGTCGAGCAGCAGCAACAGCAGTCGCCGCCGGTGTCTGCCCTTCGCCTGCTTGGCCTTTCCTCCCCAGACCGCTCGCCTGCGCCTCCCCCGCCGCCTCCTCCCCTTCCTGTCCACGTTCCTGTATTTCCTCCGCCGGACTCGTCCCCAGCTCGTTTCCCACCTCGTTCCCCTCCTATTACTCCTCCTCTGTCTCCTGACCCGACGTCTCCGTCTCACGTCTGGTCTCGCTGTCCTTCTCGTGCCCCTCCTGTCTCCCCTGTTCAGGGTTCTCACCCTATGCTGCTTCGTTCCCACGCATCTCGTCCTCCTCTCCAGCCTTCGCCTCCTCCGTCGTCGCTTGCAGTCGCTCCGCCTCCTCTGTCTGACTACCTTTGTGCTGCTCGTCCTCTTATTCCTTGGGTCCTAGCCTCCCTTGCTACCGACCCTTCTATTCCTCTCTTGAGTCTTAACGCTCTTGTCGCTGCTCTCGCTGACTTCGCCTCCACCCACCTCCTTGACTACACCACCACTCTCGTCTCTGACCCTGTCCGTCCTCCGTCCGTCGGGGGTGCTCCTGCCCTTGGCAATGACGTCCTAGAGGACAGGCAGTACGAGCTTGCTTTCCTGTCCGAGGCTGCTCCCCATCTCTGCTCCATGCTGCTAGTCCCGGAGGGTGACCCAGACGCCTTTGATATCCCGACCCCTCGTACGTACGCTAAGGCAACCTCGGGACCTATCGGTGGATAGCTGCCATGGAGCAGGAGATGGCATCTTGGAGTTCCACCGGTACCTACGTCGACGCAGTTCCTCCACCTGGGGTGAAGGTAGTTGATGGCCGGTGGCTCTTCAAGGTGAAGCGCCCCCCTGGAGAGCCGCCTGTGTTCAAGGCGCGCAACGTGGCTAGAGGCTTCAGTCAGCAAGAGGGGGTGGACTTCTTTCAAACCTTCACCCCGACCTAGAAGATGACTACTCTTCGGGCGCTGCTACATGTAGCAGCACAGCGTGACTACAAGCTCCACTCCCTAGACTTCACCGGTACCTTCCCTCTAGGGACCTAGTGGCTCCTCCGACGCCCGGTCTACGGCCTGCAACAGGTGCCCCATGAGTGGCACGAGACGCTGCATGCTACGCTAGTTGACCTGCAGTTCTTTCCATCCTCTGCAGACCCTTCACTCTTCGTTCATGCTAGCCAGACTCCGTTCTACATCCTTGTCAACGTAGATGACCTGGTCTTCCGAGTAGGTAGGTCCACCACCCGCTTCCGCCCCGTGCCGCCACCTACCGGACCCTCACGCCCCTAGCCGGTCCCGTTGCGCCCCTAAGGCCCCGTCGCACCCCTAGCCGCCCCCGCGCGCCCCTACGGCTCGTCGCGCCCCTAGCTGACCCCGTCGCGCCCCGAGCAAGCCCCGTCGCGCCCCTAAGGCCCCGTCGCGCCCCTAGCTGCCCTCGCGCGCCACTACGGCCCGTCGCGCCCCTAGCCGGCCCCGTCACGCCCCTAAGGCTTTGTTGCGCCCCTGATCGGCCCCGTCGTGCCCCTAGCCGGCCCCGCGCACCCCTACGGCCCGTCGCGCCCCTAGCCAGCCCCGTCGCGCCCCTACAGCCCCGTCACGCCCCTAAGGCCCCGTCGCGCCCCTACGGCCCCGTCGCACCCCTACCGGCCCCGTCACGCCCCTGCGGCCCTGTCGCGCCCCTGCGGCCCCATCGCACCCCTAGCCGGCCCCGTTGCGCCCCTACCGGCCCCTCCTGCCCCTCGCCGGTCCCCCGCACCCCTACCGACCCCTACGGCCCCTCGTGCTCCTACCGCCCCGCCCCCCCCTTGCCCCTACCAGCCCCACACGCCCTAGCCGGCCCCACATGCCCTAGCCGGCCCCCTTGCACCCAAGCCGGCCTCGTCGCCTGCGCCGCCGAGCCGCCCTGTCCTCGAGCCGTCGAGCACCCGTGCCGCCGAGCTGCCTAGCCGCCGACCCGCCGACCCGCCAACCCGCCGACCCGCCGAGCGGCCGTGCGGCCGAGCCGTCATGTCGCTGTGCCACTGCGCCACTGAGCCGCTGTGCTGTTGTCACCCTGTGCAATGGCGGACGCCATTCTTCGCTTGGACGTTGAGGGGCATGCGATCGACTTCGCTGCCTGGCTCATCGACCTCCATCGGCATCTGACAGGTTAGCGCCAGGATGGGCACTCCCTGGCTATGCATATTGATGGCTTGCTTCCCCACCCCCCTGCGCCTGATCCCCTCCCTGCTGACCCTACCACTGCTGAGAGCGAGGCCTTTGCTGCTGCTGCGCTTGCTCACGCAGTCTGGGATTCTCGCGATTCGGTAGCGCAGCTTGCCATTAGCCATGCCCTCCCCCTGTTAGAGCGTCCGCGCTTTACCGCTGCTGCAAACGCCAAGGACTTTCTTGCTGCAGTAGTTGAGCATTGCTCCACTCCTGCTTCCGCCCTGCTGCTAGCCGCTTGATCCTACGCATGCTCTTCCCTGATCTTTCTGCTTTCCCCATGGTAGCTGACCTTGCTACTCACCTCCGTGTACTAGAGACCAGCTACCATGCTGCTAGCTCTGCCGCCCAGCTCACTGCCTTCCCCCCACCTTTCTGCGCTACCCTGTACCTTATCGCCATGTGCCTGCAGCACCGCTTAGCCACTGCCCGCGACCACTTCCTTAGTGAGAACCCTGCCAACCTCACCTTGACTGCCTTTGTCACTACTCTGTCTGAGATAGAGACTCGCCAGCGCACTATCGCTCAGTTGAGCGGTGTTGCGGCAGTCCCTATCTTTCAGGGCTGTGCCCCCTCCCAGTGCACGTACGCTGACGTTTCTGCCGCAGTTGCCACGACTGCGCCTGCACCTGAGACAGCAGCTGCGGCTTATCCGCAGCAGCGCCAGCGCCGGGGCCGACGTGGCCCCAAGGGAGGACATGGAGGTGGCGCTAGTGGTGGTGGTGGCGGGGACAGTGGCTCTGACGAGGGAGTTAGTGCTGGTGCCTAGGAGCAGCAGCAATCGCCGCAGTCGCAGCCGCAGTAGCAGCAGTAGCCGTCACAGCAGCAGCAGCCGTGGGCTTGTCTCCCGCCTGTGTGGCTAGGAGCCCCTGGCGGTGTTGGTCGTGGTGGTGGCCCTCACAACTCGGTGTCCACCAGCAGCTTCGGTGCTGTGAGCTGCTAGTTGCAGCTTCAAACCGGGCCCCTGCATGGCACGGTGTGCCGCCGCCCGCACCCGACCGCCCGTTGCTTCCGCCGCCTCGACGACCTCTTCCGTCGCCGCTTTGGTTCCGCCCCGGACCTCCTTGACTGGCCCAGCCTGCTGCGCCACGGTGTGCCTGTGTTTGTCTTAAACATGGATCAGATTAGTTCTGCCTTGCATTCTCTGTATGCTGACGCTTCGAGTGTTTCTGGATCTCATTACTGTGTGTTCTCTAGCTTAGGCGTAGCACCTGTATGAAGTTCAGACTCCCCTGCTGCGTCAGGCGTAGGACAGCTTGCTTTGTCTAGCCTAGGCTCTACCCTTGCTCCTCCGTCGTCTGCCACTACGGCGTCGCTGTCCTTCACTCTAGACTCCGGTGCGTCAGCCTGTTTCTTCCGCGACCACGCCACCCTCACGCCGCTTGCTGCACCTGCCGCTGTCGCCCTTGCGGACCCCTCCTCTGGTCTTGTAGTTGCTCGCAGCTACACTACCCTTCCCTGTCCGGCAGTTCCCTCGGGTTCCCTTACAGGCCTGCACATCCCTTCGTTC